TCTAACAACTCAATGTTAAATCTTAATCGCCATGTTTATAAAGAACTTTATTTAGGGAGCCTTGTGAAGTTTTATTGTAGCAATATGCTTCGAAATTATTATTTTTATACACACGCAGATGTGCACTTATACAAAAATACTCGTGGCCACATAAATATACATATGAACGTATGTATATTGAGATTTAGTATCGGATGCTAAGTATACTGTGAAGTTTCTTTCTTAGATATGTACTTGTACATACTTGTGTATATGTACATATGTGTGTATATAAATATGTTTGCATGTACATTTCCATAATGCTTTGTAGGTCACTCATACCACCCGCCATGCTCTCTGCATACTTTACCATAATATTTGACCTACTTTTCCATGCCATACCTATCGAACTTTCCTTCACGTTTCTAATTTTACTTACTATGTATATTGGCATAACTAGCTCACGTTGCGATGCAGTTTTTCCACTAATATAAATTATTCTTACTACATAAAGATATGTCCATAGAAAACAGTCTTGCTCATCTTCAATGTTCGTTATTATTGGCTAATGTCCTTTGAATCTTGCCAGATATATATACTCGTATTTACATGGAGGTTGTTGGTTGGCTCAGCTGATGGCCTTTACTGATTCCGCAGCTGGGTCTATGATGAAACGACTCGTATTAGTGCTGATTTGGCTTACTTGTTTACTCGTAGCTAAACCAGAAATGAAAACGAAAGGAAAAATTGAAATTGTTTATACATAAGTAAAAAATCATAATATATATATGTATGTACGTATATGCACCACCCTGCAAAAAGTGGGACTAGATTAAATAATTGTACAGGACTACGCTTCCTTGTAACTAGCACTAGTAACCAAAATGGTCAAAATACATAGAGAAACAAGTAAGTTTTAAGTAAAAATCAAAACCGAATTAAATTCTAATATAAAAATTGAAGAGTACCGTTAATTTCGGATGATCGGATCTGAAATAAATTAATATGGAGGTACCAGCTTTCCTTTAAAAAAAAGAATTACAGATATCGATTAACGTGTTCCAAAAATATGCGGTAACATACATTAAAAAAATATTTATTTCGACGAATTAATAATGTCCTCCTTTTTTTGAAGTCGGTAAAAATGGGACCACCTACACAACTTCCCCGTTTGGAGCATAAACTGAACTTCATAGGATTCTTTCATAATTTTTAAAGGTGCTTTTCAAATTTAAATAGTAAAATTCATTATTTATAATTTTTTTTCTTAATATTCATTTTATCTATACTCACATTCGCCAATAAACCAAGAAAAGGTCGTATGGAATTTTTTTGCATTTGACGTGGTCCAAGCCAGCATAAAAAGTTACTAAGTATGTAGTATGCAACCTGATCCTTTTGCACATACTTTAAAACGATGTCCCAGTAGACCAACGGGTTCTCAAATTTTTACAGGGTATGTTGAAATATACATATGTACATTTGTATGCGCAGACCCTTACGCTTAATTAGCCAGTGAGTTATTGCTCGGCAAAAAGAGGAAAAAGTCAAGACCAATTAAAAATTGTTGAAGTGACACTAAAAGCCAATTACTTTGCACCATTAATAGCGTTAGCAAAAGTCAACTTGAAAGCATTTCATTTGCATTGAGCTTAGATAGAAATGTCATATATATTTATGTACATATATTTAGGTATGTCTGTATCAAGGTCAATCGCAGCATTAGGAGACTGAAAGTGAGATTCTTCTCTTGATTGAATGGTGAATCAAGCCACTCGTTTACTGCATCTGTATTACATACATACATCATCAAATGTCCTTAAATGCCAATATGTAGTTATTTACATATACATATGTACATACATATATGAATAACTGTGTATATGCATGTTATCAGGGCTACACCCACTATCCGTGCACTCCCTGTACCTTTCGTGAATTTAGAGTTATTGCCTCATGGGAGGCAGCTTGGCCTTGGATTTCAATGAACTTTTCGAACCATATACTTACATGTACATTAATTTATAAGCCAAAGGCAAAGTTTCGTAATATGTGAACATGGATTTTGCATTTCAATAATACCCTTGCCCTACGGCGCGTGCAATGTCTTTGATTGATTGGCATTTTAAATGCGATATCTGGGCGCTGTTGTGTCGATGAAGTTTCATGGACATGAATCCTTGGCAAGAGTCTGTGTTTGCCATCGTGTATCTACACCTACACATGTACGTAGAGAGTTTGCTTACCTAAATGAGGGAGTATCTGTTTTGGCCAAGGAAAATTGATTTTAGAATGTCCTAAAAAATGTTTGGCCATTTAAGTTACTATCAAAGGATAGAAAAAAAAAACGTAGCCAACAGAGATGACTTCCGAAGTAAGCACATTTAATTGAGAAGAGGAATTACCTATGTTGGCATCATAATAACAGTCATGTGTATTACACCGAGTCAGAGCAGGGATCTAGGAATGAAGGTGGGTGAGAGGACCAGCAAAAGTATATTTTGTTATTTTATTTTATTCAACGTTCAAATGAAAGATTTCTTATTGCTTTTTAATTAAATTAAATTTGACTTTTCAATTAGATGGCAACCCTCTTTAAAATATTCTTTAGCTCAGTTTCAATATTAAAGCATACATTTAGGAGGCATTTCCGCCCCAACCATGTACATGTATGGCATTGCGATCGGTGTCACTTTTGAATTGAATTTGAAGTTTGAAAAATTGTCCGCACATCAAAATACCTTTCTAATCTTATTACATTAAACGAGCAATTCTTGTATATATATACATATACATATATCCCTAGCGTTCTCGGAAGTGGCTCTAAAGATTTTGATGAAATTTTGTACAGAGATAATGCAATGGATTTTAAGATTATCTAAATAGGCACTATCTCCGATAAGACTCGTATAAGGTTGCCACCTATTCGAAATTAGTTGAAAATTAATTGAAACATCATAATATTGGTATCAAATGGAAGGTATTTTAATGATCCCTAATTCAAAAATATTTTTAATAGGGTTGCCACCTATTTTGAATCGCATATTTATTTCATTTTTTGTTTAGCAAAAAAGGTAAAGTATTACTATTCATGGGTACCAAGAGAAGGTTCTTAAACAATACTTTTTCTATATACAAAATGTTATCCCTTAGGACAATAGTGTAAGGTTGCCACTTATTTTCTATTCTACACAATTTATCTAAAATATCGCAATATGGATATGAAAGAAAAGGTATTGTTGAGAACTTTGGTCAGAAAATATTTTCCATCATGATTTCCACGCTTCTGTATAATGCAAATTTTTATTTTGTTAATTTCAATCAGCATTTCTTTTATGTATACACAGTACATATACCCTCAAGTTATGCACTATTCATTCCAGCGTATTTCGGAATAGGGTTGCCACCAAAATTTTGGAGTGGGAAATTTATTTAATAGATATCGAAATCCAATTTATTTTTTCTAAATATTAGCAAAATATTCTTTTAAAGCTATCCAAATCTTGAAAACTTTAAAAAGTATGTGCACTCCGCGCAAAGCTCGGTCAGCCTGGTACTGATATATAATTGTTTATACCTTAAAAATATATTTTAGTCGTAAAAGGGTTGCCTATTTATATATAAAGTTTGACATTTTCGAAACCAAGTAATTTCAAAAAAATCAAATTAGCTTCTCTACTGATACTACCTGTTCAATGTGCATTGATTCGAAACCTAAAACTACTCGTACTCATCGCTTGACGGCAACTGGCTTTAAATTTAACTTTTTTAGTTTTTTTTTTTTTTTTTTTTATTTTTCTTTCTGTACGAATGAATGTTTTGTACATGCATAATCTTCATGTAAAACATTTACCTTTGCTTTGTGAACAACAATTCTCCAATGTATACATAAAAATTGCTCACTATATAAACAAAACTCCATCCATTAAGTATACTTCTGCTACATGCCTTTCTACTCTGTCACCTATGGCATTCGTGTAACACATTGCAATGCAACAAATGTTGCACATAAATCACTCAATATAGTGGCATCAAGCGTTCGTCTACCTTCTTGTATCTCAATGCTCTTATTTTTCATACTTAATTATTTAATTTTATTTTTAGTTCTTTGTACACACATACTGCTGTAAATATTTGAAGCGCATCTGCACTTAGAATCGCGTGCACACAACGCTGATCTGAAGAGGATGGCGTGAATGAGCGATGCGTATGTACTGAAGTGTTATGCCTACGCACAAGTATTTATAAATATTTACTTTATACGTATGTGTGTATGTACAATAGGATGCATCACTATCCATACAAAAAACTGTTTTTCTATTGAAAATATAAAGTTTATTATATTTTGAGACCTACGCCATTTCGGAAAAATATTAAGATTTACGTGGGCTGGACCTATTTGAAAATATCTCCAAAAATCAAGTTTTCTTTTAAATAAACAGGTTTTCAAAAATATTTTTCGTAAAATATCACATCAGATGATAGAAGAGTTTAAGCTAAGCTTAAATGATCTGCATAAAAATATATAAAAATTGTATCAACTGAATCAAAACAATGGGGTTATTTTCAAATCGGTTTAGCTCACGTAAATTTGAATATTTTTGCGAAATATTTTGGCAGAAGTCTTAAAATATAATAAATTTTTTAAAACCGCTAGAAAACTGGCAATGTTTTTGGTGATGCACTCTAATGTGTAATATGTATGTAGTAGTTTTTTATTATTCATAACCTGCAAAAGATTTCGCGACGAATCTATAAATAGAGTATTCCGGGATTAGTCTCAATCTGGTACAATTAGCAATTAATAACTCGCAACTAGTATCATATGATTATTATTGGAGATCGATTAGTCTCGACACATTTCTTGACATCATTTCTAACGGGTACAATTGATTCGGGTATAAACGTGGACAATTAATCTCCTCATAGGACATGCTCGAACAAAAGCAAACATTTTACCCACTAAAGATTCTGTATACATTAGACTTCTCATATTATTCCATTTTCTTTCATTTTTTCAGACTTCCATCCAGTTCGGACGATAGTTTCGATGAAGACGCCGACGAAGTTATCGTCCCACCACACTGCCACATAACAGTGCGTTGTACACGCGAAATTGCCGGTTTCAATGGACTTGGCGAAGTGGTGCGACGTCTGGACTTTCGAACTTCGCTGCGCAATCACAAACGCTTCCACTATATTTGTGCATTGCTGCGACTCTTGGTATCCCACAAGGGTATCGTCAACTTGTCTGGCAGCGCGCAACGGGTGCTGATGCAAATTGTGGAAGATGTGGCCACACATGGTAAGTGCACATAATACTGACAAAATTTTGCTTGCCTATACGTACATACATACATACATATGTGTTAGCAACAACAGTAGCAGTATACGAAAAATAAATTTACATGGCAAAAAGTGGCAGTCATTTCCGCTCGCTAAATTAATTACTCAGCCTCTCAACTCCCATTCACCGACTGCTGCTACGATTGTTGCATTATGCAACTGGTTTGTGCACACAATTTACGAGCCTTAAAGTGTCGCTAATTTTATTACATTCGTAAAATTTCCTGCATTTGTAATTTTTCTATCTTGTTTTTTTTTTCTTCCTAAATAAATAATGGACCATTCGCTGCCACTCTTTGCAATTGAACATCGCTTTGTGATCTGCGTGCAAATGTTATAAAAACCGGTAATTGGTCCATGTCAACTCGTTCCAAAAAACAATCAACCAACTAACACACCAACGAACGAACCGTTTACCATTTTCACGCTACTTCGCTTATCAGTCAACGACAGTCAGCAGCATTTGAATGTGTTGCGTGGTTTGGTCATACAACTGCAAGAAATCGTTTTACAGGAGAGTCAAAAGTGTTGGGGGAAGCCGTTGGGTAGCACCAATCTGTGGCAGGAGCATATCGAGACTATAAAACGTATACAAACCGTTGCTAGTCAAATCGAAATCAAAGAGGTGAGGCTGAGTGCATTTTTTGTTGCATTTGTTTGTCAATTTAATTATAAGTATGTCTATGTATAGTATATGCTTGTAAGGCAAATGTTACAGGTGGTAAACGGAAAATAGCTATTATTATTTATTTTTCATTTCTTGCGCTTAGCGTTTATAGAGTTTGGCGGAAGTGTTGCAGGAAATTAAAGTTATATTTTGAAGTTGAATCGCTTGCAATACCCTCGGCGATTTACTTCAATAAAACAAATAAAAAAGAAAGTTTTTCACAAGATTCAAGATTTCAGTGCTGCCAGACCTTAAATTTTATGTGTTTAAAAATGTATGAGTATCTGCTTGCTTGGGTAAGCGACCCTTTTACGGGTAGCAGGTAGGAAAGGTACGTAAAATCTTATTTCTTCTTCTTCTCATTTGGCGCTGTATCCGCCTAAGCGTTTTGGGCCGAATTCAACAAAGCACACCAGACGTTTCTCTTCTGTACCAATTGGGAATGCCCAGTGAAGCCAAGTTCTTCTCCACTTGGTCCTTCCATCGAAGTGGGGCCTCCATCTTCCCTTGCTACTACCAGCGGGCTCCGAGTTGAATACTTTAGGTAACGATATATGCTTTACAGAATATTGTTAAAAATCAATATTCAATATTGCCTGACACTTCCTGTCGGCGGTAACTTCCGACAGACGATTTAAAGTTAAAAAAAAAAAACCAGTTCGGAATATTTCCAGTCCCAAATTGTATGTATACATAATACCTAGGCATGAACATATTTAAATAGCAGACCAATCCAATCAGTGTGAAACCGTGAGAATAATTGTTCTGTCATTCTAGTGTAAAACAGCCTTTTGTTAATTAACTGCTTCAACAACAAGTAGTTAAATTAAAAAATATTTATTATCGAAAATTATATTTTTATTTAAATTTTGCAGCCCGGTCCAGAAATACGTCCAAAATTGCATGACTTACCTGAAGAGTGCATACGTGAGATAATTTTACGCATAGCCGATCATAAAGATCTCGAAGTGAGCACACCTTTTTATATACATACATAAGCATTCCTAAATACATCAATGAAAACTAATCCAATACAATTATCTCTCTAAACTCTAGGCCTCCGCCAACGCCTGGCAAACCATGGCCTCACTCATTTCGGAGCAACGCATTTGGCGCGAACTATGTCGCTTCCACTTCAAACAACATCAAATAAACCTAATACTCGATCTTAATAATATTAAACTAATGAACGAGGTAAAGGACTGGAAAAAGATCTATCATCATTTGAGACGCACCTATGGCGTTAATGATGACTATCAATTTGCCGAAGTGCTGGAACTATGCCGCATATGTTCCTGTTTATTCTGGCCATCTGAGGGCCATCCATGCATTGCCGATGAAATGCCGGATTACAAGCAGCGATTGGAAGATGCGGCGGGCGGTGGTCAGTTGGTGGTGGCACAGCCAGTGCCACCGGCACAATTTCTAAAATATTTCTCATTGTAAATAGGCTTTTAAGAAACTAAATAAGTACATTTGGGGAACGGGAAAATCGCAAAAAACCGGAAGAAGAAGCGAAAGAAAAGTGTGTTTAGAGCAATTGTGGTTTGTTGATAAATATTTGAAATGATAATTTTTAAAGGCAGCTGGAAAACTGGTGCGCTATGATTATTAAGTTATGGAGATAACTATATACATATATGTATTTATGAATTAAAAAAAACTGCTTAGTATAAAAATGAGATGATGAAAATTTAAATATATGTATGTATATGCAAAAGTGTAAAACTACTTAAATAAGGCAAACAAAGTACAGTGATAACTTGAAAAAAAAAGATTTATGTACGTGTGTATTTGAAATTCAGCTACTTAGTAAGATCTATTGCGATTTGTGAATCTTTCCAACAACTTTCTAATTTTTTATAAAATCCACATTATTACATAAAAAGTATATGTTTTAGATTCGTAAGCATGCATAGAAAAAAAAAAAAAACGATTACTCGGCTGAATTAAATATTCCTACGTTAGTACATGCATCAAAAAGTACTCATTTCACAAATAAAAAATCATACATACATACATGCATACACATGTATGTTTGAAAATACTAGATTTTGTGTTTGCTTTTAACTCTAGTCGTTCTAAACAATTTATTTTTTTATTATAATTGGTCAGGAAATTTAATGTTTTAATCTTCGACAAATTTCTAAAGCCAGAAGAAAGTGTGAGTTAGACTGCTCTTCATATGCAGTACGCCAACCGCAAAAGCAACCGCTTAAATTTGGGACTGTTGCATTGATTGAGTTGGTTGCAATAGCTAAGTCACAAAAGTATTGAGCCTTAAATGAGAAACTATGGAAAATAAAACATTATTGTTCGTCATAAAATTAGGTAACAGTATTATGTTTATTCATTTAAAAAGATTCATACAAGACTCAGAGAATACCCCTAATAAGAAATTACGGATGAAAATTTGCTTAAATTTACTTAAATTATGTGAAAAGTTGCAATTACAGAGTTACTAATGATAAATATTAGGGTATTGCTTTAATCGAAGGCGTACTGCACGTAGATATTTGTATATGAAAACCTGTAAATTTGAAAGGTTAATTACCGTTTCACTTATTTTAATGAATACATTCTATAACAGTGAATTTTGATTTTTATATGTCCTAGTTCAGGTTATGGCTCTGCTGGAATTCTTCACAAATCTTGGCTTAAAGTTTCGTAGCCCAAAATATAGTTTATGAACCAAGGCCGGATTCAGATAATCAGGGGATAATTTATAGATGTTTGTTGACATGTAAAGTATTGCATTTAAAGTTGGTCCACAGGAAATTCAAAAATCACTCTCAAAATCAATTTTAAACGTACCTAACCAGACCACATAAATCCATATTTCAAACTTATGAAAACTCAAACTTTAACGTTTGCACCAGAAAATTTCAAACCTTTTATTCAAAATTTTCAGAAAAATTCTGGGTATGCAGTTTTTTAGCTTATTAAATTTTGAGAGGTTAAAGTGCAAATTTCGAGACGCTAAAAAATCGCGTTGATTTTTAATAATTTTTTTGGCTGACGGTGTTGTGCATTTTCTTCCATATAAAATATGCTCGACGATTTCGTTTGTGTGGGATGCTGATTAGGTAAACGGCTAAACTTTTATAAAAAAAAATTATAAACATTAAGTAAACAAAAGAAAAATAGCCAAAACTAGTCAAAATGTCACTTGACTTAATCAGCTGACCACAAGTGTACATATACTGCTTAAGAAGCCTCTCAAAAATTTTAGATTTCTAAATTACTTGTAAATTACTGATTGTTTTTTAATAGAAATTTAATATGGAATTTTAAAATGTTTTTCCAACTGATTCTGTTTACTAGTTCATACATACATATGTAAATTATATTTGATTCTTGTAATACATTATTTTTTCCCACACAAATTTTGCAACTCAAATAACTCTAAGAAATGTGATTTAGCTAAAATTGAGCAAATAAAAATAAAGAATTTATGAAAACGAACTTTAAATCGAATGCCAATGTTATTGCGAAAATATGAAAGAAATATGTATGTAATGTAACTAATAAAAAAAAACACTAAAAAAATTAATTTAAGTCCACAGCGCATACAAAAAAATTACTCACATACATACATACAACCCTACCGTAAAGAATGAGCTACAGAGAAATGTATTTTGCGAATTTCCAGAAAGAGAAAAAGCTGACAAGAATGATCTTTCATACAAATGTATACAAACACACAGAAAATATGTATAAATATATGATTATATTTACAAATACTACCGCATAGTAGTTAAAAAAATTACTTTTAAGACAGAAATATTAATTAGGGGGGAGTTTTAGTGGTAATTTGCAAGCATGGAAATAGGCTGGGTGCAGTTTTCAGTTCATTTGCAAGGTCTTTTAGCTATTTTGTGTTGCTTTAAAACTACATAATCTACGAATAAATCGAAGCAGAGCTGCCACAACATATCGTTTTCAAAAGCCTGATATCTTAAGGCTTAGTCGTGCTTATATATCACAAAGCTCATTGCCGCTCTTAGTTTTCCTTCTCCAATATGTTTTATAAAAATTAAATGAAATAAAAAATATATATGTATGTACATATGTATGTATTTTTCTTTCTAAGCAATAAAAAATTATAACTAAAAACATGTTTAAAAAAAGAATAAAATATAATAAAAAATAAAACACAAATGATATAAATTTTAAGAATTAAATGACATTAAACAGAAAAGTTTTTCTTTTTAAAACAATTAAATGTGAAATTTTAAAGAAACTTTAATTAAAAAAAAGTAAGTTAAAAGAATTTTTTGTATTTAAAAAATTTTTTCTTTGTAAAAAAGACAAACATTAAAAGTTAAAAGAAAGTTAAATTTAAAAAAAAAAATTAAATTAAAAAAGATACTAAGTTTCTAAGAATCAAATTAAATAAAAAATCCTTTTTAAAACAACAATCTAAAAATAAAAATAAATTTTATTAGAAAAATATCGACTATAGAAAAAGCAATGTTCCCAAAAATTTTCTGAAATTAAAAAAAAATAATATATTTTTTTAAACAACAAAAGCTAAAAGTTTAAAGAAAATTACATTTAAAAAAATAAAATTAGTAAAATTTAAAAAAGAAAAATAATTAAATAAGTTTCTAAAAATTAATGAAATTAAAAAACTCATTTTTAAAATAATAAGATCTAAAAATTAAAATAAAATTAAAAAAGAATAAAATTAAAAAAAGACTAATAGGAGATGGAGGGTATTTGTGGGTGCAGAAGTCCACGCATGTGTGAAAAGTTTCTGATAGCCATTCAGCAGGAAGTGGCCAAAAACGATTCTTTTGCATCCGCTTTAAGCAGCTCACGACTTCCGGTGCTTACTCCAAATATCCTTTGGGTAACAACCTAACTCCTGTTCGGAAGTGGGCTAATTGTGAGAAGGCGAATCAATCTTATGTTGGAAACCGCAACACTGTCTGACTATCTGAGCTGCCGCGGCATCATCTACATTAGACAGCATACCCTACTTAGATAACATATGTACATAATTATGCCGATTCCCCCTAATTATGAAAGTATATGTAAGTTTGTGTCAACGCCAGAACCGTAAACTTCGCTTTCTTTAGCTATGAGCAGGACGCAGAAGAAATTGGTCAAGCGGTAAACCTGAAGAACGTATAATATGTAAATCTGGGACACTCATTAAGAGTTCTTATGCCTTGGAACCACACGTAGCGACGCGTCTCTGGTTGCAGTGATAACTTCAAAGTTGAATAGGACTGCACTTTAGATTCCCTTAAAAAATCTCTCTTTAAACTCATCGCCCTTCTTCTCCGTCGGATCTCCCAAATTAAGCTAATGTTGTTCAAAATAGCATTACATAGATGTGCTTTTTTTATTACTCTTCTGTTTGCTATATCTGCTTGGAGTGAAGTTTCCCGTTCTAAATGTTGTATGTAAAACTTGATTGTGTCACCCTTATATTTACAGCAGACATCCAGCAGTAGGATCGGTGACCTATTTAAGTCCTATATACATTGTCCAGTATACATTGTCAATATTTTGTAGTTCGGCGTTATGGAACCTTATACTTTGTACGTATGCAAAGCATTTGACGTTTTGGAAGTCAGCCATACTTACTATATAGTGAGCCACTTACTCTTGACTACACACAAAGAGGCTTCGCGTATTGAGGTACAAATTACTTTAAGAAATTATAACTTTTATGAAGGACTTTGTAAACCTAGCCTAGAGATCGCGTAAAGAATAAATCTAGCAAACAGATAATACTTTGGGTTCGCTGGGTAACTGAAAAGCAAAGTCCTTCTCAACGAAGAAACGCAGAACCTTTCCGTGTAAGGTCATGGGCTGTGTTCGCCTGATCGTCTGAAAAGGTCGGACACGCAAGTACAGACAACGAAAACACCAAGAAAAGGTATAGCTCAAAATGACCTGTCTACAATTGTTTTAATCAAGAATCCGAATAGGTACAAAGTAGTTTTGTAATACATAAGTAGTATACTATTCACACCTCTGGGGCAGACGTGTGACCTTTGGGCTGTCCACTGGTCACGCTGATATTTTCGAGCAGCAGAGTCATCTAAGGATGGTTTCCCCTTCACAGCCGTTCTGCGTGTACCGATAAATTAGTTAGGGACTCTGCGCACCCAAAACCATCGTGAACCGCTTTGAATACGGTGGATTTATTATTCCCGCCGCGTCTAACTGCATGGTTACGTCTTTATGGTGTTACACAAGCAGATTTTCGTAAACTCCGAATGACAAATGGTTTTAATCAGAAACTTTTTCAGGTCAGAAATAGGTTTGCCATTTCTTGCCGAGGAGCTACCGTTATTAGAGAAAAATCTTTTGAATGTTGCTCTACCGCTCTATCAGGAATGGAGCCTGGGCCCTACCGCACATTGCCCAAATCAAATTTATACAAAGTTTTATTGCCGTAGGATAAGTTGAAGTTTTGCTTAAGGACACAAAATTACCACAAAGTACGACATTAATTCAGCACTATTCTGACGAATCGCATGACTGCGTGAAATGAGGGCCTGCTACAAGACTTGGGGAGCTTCGAGCAGGCGTTATATCCTTACTGAAACTCTTCCACTCAAAGGTGAAGATAAATTCAGAGTAGATACTAATTTCCAAATGGTAATATCTGTTAAGTTAATGCCTTGCAATGCGACGTAAGATGGAATCACTTCTTCGTTGACTTGGTCAAAATATCGGGATGATTGAGGTTTACGTTTTTAGATAAATCTTCTTCTTTGAGCCTGTGAAATCACCGAGTGAACTCTTTACAAGAGCAGTCCGCCTAACCTCTAGTTGCATCAGAAGCACTGCGACTGGATGGGAGTACGCACCTCTAAGCACTCGGGTATGATGGCCGTCTTAAGAAGTCTGCCGATATTTCTGGTTTTTGATGATAACTCATCTGTTATCTAGTATTCTGCCTTATCCTGAGTTTCGCCTAAAAAATTCCCCGAGAATTCGTCATCCGCCCATAGTAAATACATGCTGCCTTATCCTGAGTTTGGCCCGAAAAAATTTCACCCGAAAATTTGTATTCCGCCCATAATAAATACATGGAAACCAAACGTGAAAGGTGAACCGGTTCAGGGAAAATGAAACTCATGATAAGGCCTATGGAAACCAGAAGTGAAAAGTGAACCGGTTCGGGGAAAATGAAACTCATGATAAGGCTGACTCTATTTTTATGATGATGATTGCTCATGACGCAATCCGCCATGATGATTGCTCTATACAATTCAAGGCATATCAAGCATTAGAGCAAAAACAACATTTTCGTGTATTTTTTTGTTGGTTCTGGGATCGAAAGTTTCAAAAACTCCTCTGATTTTTTTCTTATAAATCAAAGCGTGCCATGTGAAATACAAAAAATAGAAAAATAAAATTGGCAAAAAAATTAAAATTGTTGCAACTTTCTTTCTTAGTAAATTTGTTCGCTTCTCGAAGCATTGATCCATCCTTTGCAAGGCCCAGTAATCGGCGGTTGTGCTGCTGAGTAAGGGTGGGTAACTCAGCAAATTTATAGGAGTTGATTCAATGACTCCAACTCACTTTAAGGAGTCAGCTCATTCAACTAACTCATTTGACTCTTTGTATGTTACACTCATTCGTATCGCAGACTCGTTTTGAGGCATAGATGCGGTATAGCGGCCGTTGAGATAAAACAAAACTTTAAAGTGGGCGTGGTCAGCTCCTTTCTACTGATTTGAAAGGTGTAATTTTTTTTGTGTGCAAATTAATAGGGCGGTGCTAGGGGGAGGGTAAAGGTGGAATTTTCAATATTTTCAAAAGCTTATATTTCGAAACCTATTGTACCGAATTTCAAAATGTGGATATCGTTGGAAAGGCAATTGATTTGATATGCACATCTTTATATATCTTACATACATACATATTTCGAGAAAAACTAAAAAAAAACGAAATTATAAGAATTTGTGAGATTTGACATAACACCCGCAATACAAAATACATGTGGTTGTTGTTGTTGTATTCTTGCCACCACCTTGTATAAATTCGCCTCGTGCAAAAACAAAATGCAAGACTTTGCCATGCTAAACACTGTGGCGAAGCGAGAGAGTTATATGGACAAATATGAGCCACTATGATTCAATTGATTCATGTGAGCCCTACGGCATCAACTGAGTTACTGAGTTACATTTTTTTTGGACAGGGAGTCTGAGTTACCGATTCACTTATAGGAATCAACTCAATAACTCAACTCTGAGTTGAGTTACCCACCTCTACTGCTGAGTTGGCGAACGTTCCAAAAGCTGCTATTTAATCGCTTGTTTTGTATGGAAAGAGGTTTCTCGTGCTAATAGATTTTAACAATTTAGAATTTTGTGAACATAAATTGAAAATATTTGACATTTTCGAGACCAAATAATTAAAAAAAAAAAAATCAAATCAGCTGCTCTGATGATACTACCTGTTCAATGTGCCTTGATACAATTTTTAGTTCTTTCATCTGCCAATTGTCGAATATATTTTCCTTAATTTTTTTTTATAAAACATTTGTTCAACTTTTTCGCTGGCTTAGAGTTGCACCAATGTATCAAACTCAATATATTTATTCGCGTGAGCGTCGTCGCTTTGGCCGTCAGCCCTTACTGAGCGATCGCACGCAGCTTATGCTCAGCATACAGCCTAGTCACCGAATTCGCTCAACGTACATCCTACGCAATCCGATGGATCGCACCACGCAGCTGAGCGAACAAATGGCCTTTAGCTGGGTAGAGACCGAGAATGTCACTTACGGAGAGCATGGCATGTATCACTATGAAGGTGGCTGGCCGCGCGAAGTCAACATAAACGATGAAGAGTCGGCGATGCGTTACCGTAAGAAGATTGAACGCGACGACAACTGGGGTATGCAAGTTACCAATCTAATACACACATCAATGGATGTGACTGCCCAAAATAGTGCTGTAAATATCTATCAGGAGTTCTTCATCGATCTGCCGCCTGAATTGGGCAAAGATATACGCACGCCGTTCGAGGCACGCCAGTGTAATATATTTCATGATCCACAGAAACCTGTACGACCCATTACCGTAATAGACTGGATGCCGAACGAGAAAAAAAGGTTTCTTTCGCAACCCACTAACTTTAACTTTACTCCACCGGTACCTCCGCCGCCATTAGGCGTGAAGACCGAAGAAGATGACCTACACTCATCGCCATCTGTTCCATCCGGCATACTACAAGTTACCGAACCATCTGTCTTGATAAATCCGAACTTTTTCTATGTTTGGAATATGGCTAATGCTTTGAAGCCTGAGATAGTGCTCGATTCCACAGAACCAGTGCATCGTGCTCATTTCTGTCCGCGTGATGAAAATTTCATTGCTGCCGGTCTGCATTCGGGCATGGTGGGTCTTTGGGATGCTTGGAATGGCGGTAAAGCTATAAAAATATCTCCTTTAGAAGCAGCACATCGCGAGGAAGCAGCAGCGCTGTGTTGGGTGCACTCCAAATCGAATTCAGAATTTTACAGCGGCTCCTATGATGGTTCGGTAAAATACTGGGATGGGCGCGATCTCAACACGCCATTACAAGAAATCTGGATCGATCCGGAGCTAACCGATGAGCAGAAGCGCGAGCGTGCACATGGTGTAACGGTTTTAGAATTCGAATATACTATTCCTGTGCGCTACATCATTGCCAGCGATCAGGGTTACGTGTTTATTGGAAATCGCAAAGGTATGGTGCCAACTGAGGTTCTAATCGCCAACTATCGACTCTTCTCGGGGCCGGTGCGCACTATTGAGCGCAATCCATTCTTCGTAAAAAATTTTCTTATTGCCGCCGATTGGTGTGTAAAAATCTGGGCGGAGGAATGTAAAGGTGCACCAACAACGCTGCTAATGAAAAAGAAGAACGAAATGTTGTGTGGAACTTGGAGTCCATCGCGCTGCTCGCTCTTTGTCACGGGAGACGCTAAAGGGGAAGTTGACTTTTGGGACTTATTATTGCATCAACGAAAACCGATATTCACGCTGAAGTTAAAGCGGCCCGTAAAGTACGTGAAATTTCGACCAGATGGGAAATATTTGGCGGTGGGCTTGGAAAATGGCGATGTACAACTATTCGAAATGGATCCTGCTTTGAGACAGAGTGCGGCCAAGGATAAAGCTCTTTTGATGGCGGTAAGTCGTAAAATGAACTGCAAAACTAGGTTAGAAAACATTGTAAGGGGTGAGTTGGAACTCCGAACAGCAAAATTTAAAATCCAGCCAACTGTTGTATGAAATAGCTTTTAAACTCTCGAAGAGCTATTACGTGTTCTAGCTACGAAGGCGAAACGCGCATAGCAGCTCTGAGGGGTCATCTAGCGAGTTATAATAATTAAGAGGTGTACGGGAGTCCAAAAGTTTTACGGTCGCCTTACGACCATATTGACTTTGTTCTAAACATCAAATAGCTTAGCTAATCTTTAATGTAATGGAAGTGTATACATAGAATTCTATCGTAAATAGAACTGAGCAATTCCTAGACCAGCGATGGGCAGAGATAATTTTACTCTTCCTGCGTCTGCATGAAATGTATAGAAAGCTTAAAAGAGATTTGCCCGCAGGCAAGGCGGTTCCCATCTCCGTCGTAGACCAATGACGATCAGAGAGAGCTTTTACGAGTACTTTCTGCGCCTTCAATAAAATGTATATAAAGCTTAAACAATTTGATGCTTTGGTCGTGACTGTACTAGACAACAGCGCCCGCGGGAAATGCTTTATACACATTTTGTATGGATGTTCTCTCTGATCTGACTTTATATATGTACGTAACGGGCACCATTACCTTTTCCGCGTGCAGGTTTTTAAGCTTTCAGTAAATTCTTTACTGCAGTGAGCAGATAAAAGGTCTCTCTGCTCATTGAGGTTTGATAAGAACGCCCAAAGAGGTTTAAGAAGTCATATCAACTAGAATAGAAAACTTAAAAAGCTCTGCAACATTTTTCTCTTCGCTGGTACCAATCATACCGATTTATTCAAAGCTCGACTAAATGATATTCCATTTTTAGCTTTTCGAGCGCGAGCTACAACATTGCAAGCTGCTGGACGGTCGCGTTGAGGAAATTAAGCTTAAACATAAAACAGAGCTATATGAAACTGAACAAGCCAAACTGCGCGAAAATGAATTGGACTCGATAGTGCAATTCGATCCTGATGATCCGGATCAGTTTTTACAGATAATAGAAAATGATACCGAGTTTAAGGACATGTTGAAAATTTTCAAAGACAGCACATTTAATATTGATAAGAAGCGGCAGGAGCGTCAATTCATAATGGAACGCACTGATTTTGAAAAGGATGATATGTTGACGAAAGAAGATTTAGAGGGACTAAATGCAGGAGAAATAGCCGCACTTAAAGCTGAGGGAGTTGTCAATAGCTCCGCTGCAGGTGCAGCTGGTGCGGCCGATGGCGCTGCTGGTATAGCAGGTGCTGGTGATAAGGCTGGTGCTGGAGCACCCGGAGGAGCAGGTGCTGCCGGTGCAGACAACAAAGAAGCAGCTGTTGGTGATAAACGCATAAAAGTCTTGAGACGTATGGCAGATGCAGATAACTAAGATATCTGGTTTTATTTTCAACTCCTTAAAAATACTGGTCTTGTATGTTTATACAAAAAGGGCTCAGGCGCGTAAATACATTTGTTAATTTCATTTAAAATACGCACATCTTTGCTGCTAATTCTGGTATTTCTACAACTCTCATATCCACCACGAGCACACTCATTTGTCGTCGCACAGCGCTCGCTTTACGCACAGCCAACTTCACCTCAAAGTGATTCATCAGGTAATTCCATTTATATTCTTCCTTCTGCTGTTCACTTAAAGCTTGATACTGCGATGGCGTTAGAGCGAGCACACGTTCAGCTACGGCGCCAGACAGGCGTGATTCCAACAAAGTGCCAGTATGATCGCTAAATTGGACGTTAATGGTGAAAAAATGTTCGAAAAAACCAATTGGCATTGCTCCATATCGCATATGATTTGATTACGCCTAAGTAGGGCATTACAGGATTTGCTGTGTGAAAGATAAGCGTTGAAGGTCAATTTGAGCTTATTTTCGTATTATGCTTACCATTTGCGGCTTAGCACTTGACCAGAGCCATCAAAATCGAAATGAGTTAGCATTGCATAAAGAACTGCGGTGAATTGTTCTGAATCATCTTTGAGATGACCCTCGGCGCGGGCGTACAGCTGATTTACGGTCATTTGAGTTGCGTGCTTCCGGTAAAAGATAATGTGATACTTTTGTAAAATTCTGGATATCCCAACTTGACCTCGATTAAATGTACGACTGTGCGCATCGCTTCCAAATAATGTTGCGCCTGTTGTATCCAATCAGGCTGCCAAATGGTCATCACAACAGCATCAGCATTGCTGCTATCGATAACAATTAGCTCAAGACAGTTTAGAATTTCACCGTTGCGTTTACTTCGCACTTCTTTGACCGGACGCTGAGCAGCCACTAAAACCAACAAGTCAATAAATTGCTCTTTTGCATTATTTTCCTTTATGCTGCAGCGGACATCTGCAAATTGAGAGCACTGCAGAGTGGCTTATGTGGCATGCATCGGAAATTATGCAACTCGCAAAAGGCATCCACATCGCGATAGTTGTGTTTGTCCAAGCGTCCTTGTCCATCATTGACCTGCAGTGAAATGAGAGTGGGCACAATCCTTGGTGCGATGACATCGACTATGTCGTAAATCTTCAGTTGGCGATTATAGTCTGCCACTTGCTCTTTGGTGCCCCAAACTTTGCAATTGATTATACTATGTCGCTTCGAGTCGCGCAATGTAAAGGAAATAACACTGCGATATTCGTTTGAATCGCGCGCAACGAAAGTGTTGGGCGTTGTCTTCGTGAGCACAATAGCAGTAATTAATGCATTTTTAATAACAGTGTTGAGTTCACAAATTTTTTTCGCTAAAACGACTGCCATTTTAATATTAATTTGCATTAACAAAATACTTGTTGGTTAATCGCGAAAAATTGCGGACACGGAAGAATCGCTTTTGACAATTAGCCGTTAGCGCAGTGCTGCCATTTAATTTAGTGAAATATGGTTGACAACGCGGTTGTGTGTGCCACGTTGCCATGCAGATATAGTTGACACTTTAGTATCGATTTAACAGTTGAATTCCTACAGTGGTTGCCAGCAGTCGTTAAATTTTATTTTGTTTTTAATTTTTTACTGTTGCGAAACTACACAAATTGCCAAAATGGAGTTTACTTTTAAGAAAGAACGCCGCACGTTTGGAGCTCATGCACAATTTAGCGACAACGATGTAGTTATCTTCTCGGAGAACTCTTCACAGGAGCTTGCCAAGAACTATATACTTAAGAATCCAGTGGATCGCTATACACAATTCACCCGACAAATGGCGCTGAGTGAGGCCAACACCGAGCGTGCTACATACAAACATGTAGGCATCACGCACAATGAAGGTGGTTGGCCCAAGGATATTACTCTGTCCGATCCAGAGCAAACGGTCCGTTATAAACGTAAAATTGAAAAGGATGAAAATTATATAACACAAGTAATGAATCTCACCAAACCAATGGAACATTATATACACCAAAATAATGCGGTGAATATTTACGAAAATTATTTCGAGGATTTAGATCCTGCACCTCTACCGGAACCATGCCGCTCACGTACTGTCAATGTTTATCGTGATCCCAATCCTCTTAAGGTGCCTGTCACACACCTTTCATGGTCGCCGGATGGTGGCATCAAAATGGCTGTTAGTCATTGCGATATGAAATTTCAAGGTGATAAAACAGGTCAGCGTTGTAACTCATATATTTGGGAAATCGAAAATCCCAATGAGCCTTTTCTCACGCTGGAACCAAAAGTACCGTGTGTATGCCTTGAATATAATCAAAAAGATCCTACAAGTTTGGTTAGTGGTATGTACAATGGTCAGGTAGCTGCTTGGGATACAAGACACGGAAAATATCCGGTAATGATAAGTGAACGTGAAATATGTCATCGTGACCCCGTTAACTCGGTGCTATGGAACAACTCGAAAAGTGGCACAGAATTCTTCTCTGGCGGTTCGGATGGGCAAGTTTTATGGTGGGATACACGAAAATTAAGTGAACCGCTAGATAAGCTGTTAATGGATCCAGTGCGTACGGACGAACAAGATTTGGGACGTTCATTTGGGGTTTCTGTGTTGGAGTATGAAACAACGATACCAACGCGTTTTATGGCTGGCACCGAAATGGGTATGCTGTTCTCGTGCAATCGCAAAGGCAAAACGCCAATGGAGAAGATACAGATAAGGGTATGACATGGATGTGTAAGATGAATACATTTCGCTTGAATTACGCTCTTTTCAGATGATGTGTCACCTGGGTCCAGTGTATGCTATAACACGCAATCCTGCCTTTGTAAAGAATTTCCTAACCGTAGGTGATTGGTGTGCGCGCATTTGGTCTGAGGACTGCCGCGAAAGCTCCATAATTTGGACTAAAAATAGTGATGCTATGCTGACGGATGGCGCTTGGAGTTATACGAAGTATACATAGAACGAAATGGAATTGTAATGATAATCGATAATAATCTACATACGTATATATGATTTTGTTAGGGTATCCCAGTTTTTTATAACACGCATGGATGGCGTGCTGGATACGTGGGATCTTTTGCAGCAACAAAATCAACCAGTGCTAACGGTTAAAGTATGCGATGAGCCACTCCATTGTGTGCGTACAAATGAAAATGGAAAATTCGTCAGTTGCGGCAGTAAGTTGGGTGCCACTTTTCTCATAGAGGTATCGGATAATATGGTAATGTCGGCAAAGAATGATAAGCCATTGTTGACGGCGGTAAGTGGAGTGAAGGAATAGAGGCTTTTAAATTTGAGAAAGGGAGAAATTAATGAAATCAAGAGCAACTGAAATTATTTGTTTTTAAACTTTCACAAATTTCCATAAGTTTTAGAATCTATTGATAAATCTTTACACGATTATTATTTATCGATAAATTTCCATTGATTTTAGATTTTGAGCTAATGGTTTTGAACTAGTTTTATCTTCTATAGATGTTCGAGCGTGAAAATCGCCGAGAAAAAATTTTAGAAGCCAAATCGCGTGAGATTAAATTGAAAGTTAAGACTAATCAAGGCCAAGATCAAGGTGATCTCACAATGCTCAATGGTCGCGTAAATGTTGCACCATTTAAGGATGCTTGTGAACAAGCGGTGTCCGAATATTTTGCAGCCGTGGAACAAGAACGTTTGAGTCGCATTCCGGGTAACAAGCGTAGGTGATCATTCAAGGGCTTTTTTTTTTAAATTATTGGCATGATTGTGTAACAATGTTTTTATCAATTGCAGAGGATGCGGAGGAAGCTGAGGCATCTGAAATAGACAGTGCACGGACTTGAAAAATTGTTGCGTTTATGGACTTAAAGAAATGCGTACCGTTAGCAAAATTATCGATAAATTTAGTAAGAATAGTTGATGAGTTAAAACAAATGTACGTTAAAAGTGAAAATAAAGTTGGTTAACTTTGATGATATTAAAAAAATGTTTTATGTTTAATATTGATAAATTTTAATTTCTTAAATCCATCAGCAGACGTAAGGAAGTCATCAAAAGGCTCGTTAGGGATCGTGTTTTAGAGATTGAAAATTCAGGAAAATAATCGCGTTGATTTAATATATTACCTTAACCCTTAGCCCTTAAAATGACTTTAAAAAAAGTTTGAGTTTTCTCCTTTTTTAACTTCAAAGCAGTAGGTAACTTATATTTGTGCTGTGCTTCCATCATTGAGTCGATACACATAGTCACGAGCAAGGCGAATTTATATAAGGTGGTGTTGTTTCATCAGCTGTGAGTAGCGTTTGATTGTCAAAATTTTGTATTTCGCTAGTGAGTGAGTGAAAACGTGAGAGTGTTTGTATTTTCTGTCGCCCTTTTTCCTTCGGGGAAGAATAGCTGAAATTTGACAATGGCCCGCTAGAAGCAAAAACAAAATACAAGCAATTGTTGTATTTGTTGAATCGATACCACCTTATGTATATATATTCGCCTTGGTCACGAGTCTCGAAAAATATATTTTAGCCAAGGTACATTGAACAGGTAGTATCAGTAGAGCAGCTGATTTGATTTATTTTCAAATTATTTGGTCTCGAAAATGTCAAATATTTTTAATTTTTTCTCACAAAAATTCTGAATTGTTAAAATCCATTTGCATGTGAAACCTTTTTCCATACAAAACAAGCGATTGAATAGCAGCTTTTGGAACGTTCGCCCAACTCAGCAGCACGACTGCTGATTACTGAGCCTTGCAAAGGATGGATCAACGCTTCGAGAAGCAAACAAATTTACTAGGAAAGAAAGTTGCATCAATTTTTATTTTTTCCAATTTCAATTTTTTATTTTTTATAATTTTTTGTATTTCACATGGCACGCTTTGATTTAGAAGAAAAAATTCAGAACAGTTTTTGACACTTTCGATACCAGAAGCAACAACAAAATACACGCAAATGTTGTTTTTGCTCTACTGATACTACCTGTTTAATGCAGTGTACGAAAATAAACTATATTGTACGTTACTATTTCGTTTCGTTTATTACTTCAACAGTTCGGTACAATACGAAAACAAAACGGCTGAGTTCACTTTTGCGATAGTACACTACAGTAGTTTAGTAGTTACAGACGAAACAACAAACGAAATGAATCGTGCAGAGAAAAATATATGCATGTGTGTACATATATGCAATGACTAAATACAAAACGAATGGCTGCAATGAATAAAAAAATCAAAATGTTTTTTAATTGAATTGGATATGAAAATTTACAGAAAAAAATATTTTTCACGTAACTGAAACGTTTGCATATATATAAAACGTACAATATGGTACAATTGTCACAAACGAAAAGCAAACGTTTCTCGTTGGGGAAAATGACAGTGTATCTTACAATTTGTTTCTGACTATGTACAAAACTGTACAAAACCACAAATGATATGATGATCGATGAGCAAATGGGAATTGTTTTGTACAGTTTATTTTCGTACCCTGGTTTAATGTGCCTTGATTTTAGCTTTTTAAGTTCATTGCCAGCTGTTTTTAAGTACAAAAAATTCAAAATCTTACTTTTTAAGTCAGTTCTATGGTAAGGTAATTTTTCATTCCGACCTTTAAAAGGCCTTCAAATGTAAAATTTTTGATTTTGTCTTACAACAAAAAAAAATAATAATCAGTGTTATCAAGAGTTTCGTTTTCCCCGAACCGGTTCAGTTTCAACTTTTGGTTTCCATGTATTTACAATGGGTGGAACAAAAATTTTCGGGTGAATTTTTTTCGAGCGAAACTCAGGATTAGAGGTTCACGCCGCCGTCGCCGCAGTTTTTGGTCATTCCTCACGCGCCGCCACCGAGTTAAGGAAACACAAAGGCGACATTCGGGGCCTAAGGAATTTTGTACAAAATTTGAATGATGTATGCACATTGAAACACATCCTGCCTTATTCTGAGTTTCGCCCAAAAAAAAATTCACCCGAAAATTTGTATTCCACCCATAGTAAATACATGGAAACCAAAAGTGAAAAGTGAACCGCTTCGGTAAGGGAAACCTACATACCAAATTTCGTTGAGATATCTCAATTTTTGCTCGAGTTATCGTGTACACGGACGGACGGACGGACGGACAGACGGACGGACGGACGGACAGACAGACATGGCTTAATCGATTTCTTTTTTCATCCTGATCATTTATGTATACATTTGTCTATATCTATCTCGATTCGTTTTGGCTGTTACAAACAACCGTTATGTGAACAAAATTAATATACCCTTGTGCACAAGTGCGCTCGGGTATAAAAACAGGGATCTGTAGAGAGCAAAGAAATCCTGTATGTATGTACCTCAGACCTTTTTCTGTTTGCCCATCCATCAGACACTCAACATTTTAATTCAAGTAGGAAG